CTTGGAGCGCTCGCGATAAGCGCAGGCTCGCTCGTCCAAGTCCGAAGAAGATAATGCAGCGGGCGTAGAATTTCACTCTTTGACCGTTATAAATTCATTAAAGCCTGGCGAAGCCGATTCCCCGGTGCTAAAACGCAAATGATCCGGGGATTTAAACGCGGTCAGGGGAGGGGGCAGTCTTTGTCACCTTTTAACCCGAACAATATCGCACGTCGATGGCGATGCCGACCGAATCGTTATTGCTCGTTTGAGGATCGATCGGACGCACCTTACGGGACCGTTGTGTGCTCGTCGCGAGGAATCCCAATAAGTCTCCCCTTGCTTACCCTCGGTGGTATCGGCACCGACACCCTCCCGCGGAGGAAGTGCCTCCGGTAGCCCCGAACCAGCGGGAGAAAAAGGAAAAGGAGGACGAGGAAGACGGAGGGTAGGAAACGGCAGAAACGGAGAACGAATCGACGTGAGTGGGTGTCGAATGCTGAAGCAGGACGTAGGGTTCTTTACGCGCGAGGATCAGGCCGTTCGCGTATACGACGGCTGATAAATAAATAACGCGAGGGTGCAAAGGGAGGGGGAGAGGCGAAAGGGGTAGCTGCGAGCTACCCGGTCAGAAGTTGGACGGCAGTAAAGGAAAGTAATGCCCGGCCCGTGAAAGAGAATCAATTCGATTCGTACTCACCCTGCTCTCACCCCCCGCGATCCTCCCTCATACCTCACCGCCCTGCCACCCAGCCCAGTATCATTTCCTCACCTCGTCTCTCACACCCCTGGTGAGTCTCACACCGCCCCACGACGGTCGTTTCTTTCCAACCCTCGTCGTCGACCTTCTCTCGGGGCCTCTCCGCGCCCTCCGCCTCGCAGCGCAACAAGTGCGCCGCCGACTCGCATCTTTAAGAAAGCGGTCGTCCTCCTCAACCCTCCTCAACCTCCTCGCTCCGGCTGAAGCCACCGCCGCCACCTAACACCACCGTTCCACGACACAACCGGGCGTTTTCCTCCTCGTCTTTTTCCTTCTCGTCTCTCCTCCAGCCTCGCTCATCCCCCTCCCCCCACCCCGCGAGTCCCCCATCCCTCAACCAACCCACAACTACTTTCCAAATCACTCCACACACTCTCTTTCTCACTTTATCTTCCTCTCTCTCTTTCTCTCTCTTCTTTGCCTTCTTTTTCCTTCTCTCTCGATTCCTCTCCTTTTGTGTTCGCAACTCTCTCTCTCTCTCTCTCGCTCTCTCGACTATTCTTCCCTCGGAGATGGCTTGCGCCTCCGAACGGCTGCCAACCACGCCACTCTCTTGGCCTCTTCTGTTCGTCCTCCACCCCCTCCCTTCCCCGCTGACGATGTCGTCTCTTGTTCCTTGTATTCTCCCTGACGGTACATTTCACGTACACGTGCGGAAGGAGGCACGCGGCTCGGCAAGGGTGGCGAAGACGATGCTGAAAGACAGACTTTGCGGCTCGACTAACACGAATCCGAGGTGCCGATTTGAGAACTTTCACGGATACCTCGCGGCTGCGAATCGGCACAATGTCGGGGCGGATGGGAAACGAGGAAATGACTATTCGCGCGATCGTGAAAGAACGCCCCTAACCAGGAGGTATAAAAGATCGTGTGAGTTAACGCGGCTATCTGAAGGCGTATAGCTCGGAGATTTTTCCGAAGCAGGTGTCCGCCACTCATCGCTAATTAAACCGCGGAAGAACGGAATCGGCGAGGGGGGGAGGGGGAGGGGGAGTCATGCTGAACATCGTCAAGTTGCAAGATTGGAGTAAACGCGAGTAAGAGGGAGAAACAGCGTCACTTTTGGGGAGTTTTGCGTTTGAATCCAGCCCCGAGATGTTTGATGCCGGGGACGCGTAAATTCTCGAAAAGTTGTAAATCTTTTACGACTATTTCGAAACGAGAAGACCGCTCCTCCTCCTCCGTGGCTGCGCTCCTACGCGAATATTTCTTCCCGCTATTCTCGACTCTCGTAATCGTTATTACGAATTACGCGTATACCGCGATACTTAAATCTCCGAGGTTTTAATGCGTCGCTTCGAAATAAGAGCGCGGGATTTCGGAGCCGCCGATGGACGGGGAAATTTAATGAATGCCAGCGCGTTACGGAATACCGTAACTACGCGGACATCTGCGGCCCTGTCGAACGAACCGGCGTTGGATCGTCATTCGATGAAACACGCTGAATTTATTGGCGGTTTAATGCCGCCCGGGACGTTTATAGGAGCGCAATAAATAAACTCGAGCGCGCTATTACGAGTGACAGGAACGTTACCGGAGGCCGGAGCGTCGTGCAGGAACATTACATCGGTGAATCCGATGACGCGAAACCGCCAGCCCGCTGAAATTTTTCCCCGGAATAATTGTAATACGTTGCATTTAATATCAAAAGATTAACGGATACGTTCGCCGAAAGCGGGCCCTCCGGAATCTTTGCGAATAAAACAAGCATCACCGCTCGATACATGAGATACAATTTGTGCATAAATAATATTTCGCGCAAAATAAATATAATTTCTATCGCTGGCGCACGTTTCTGAAATATATAAAATTCTCTCTCTCTCTCTCTCTCTCTCTCCTTTTTTCTTTCTCTACGAGCTATCGTTCTAAAGATATGTAGAATAAATCGCAAATGTGCGCAGAATAAATGCGACCTCATTCCCGGCAATTTATTTATCTCACGTTACGAGACAGCCCGTCGAATCGTTGGCTGGCTGTATCACGACTTAGCAGCGAGACCGACACGCGAGAAAGCACCTTGACGTTGTCGTCTCCGATGCCGAAGACGGAGCAACTTCTCGAGAACGGCCCAACGTCACGATGATCGACGAAGTGCCCGAGCGGATGTGCCAGTTTAACGATCAGGAAATTCGACGAAAAGGAAAGTTATTAATGGCCAAAGTTGTAGCGACGACGAGGGGGGCGAGCGAGCGAGCGAGCGGACGGGCGAGCGTGCGGAAGCCTCTCGATTACAAAGCGCGAGCGAGAAGTAACTGCACGGCGGCGTAGGGTTACAAATTGCGCCCGAAAGTTGCTCGCTACCCGAGGCCGGCGGGATAATGGATTCCGGAATAAACGAAACTGCCGGGCCGGTCATAATTTAAGCGGATGCCACGCCACGCGGCGGCCGCTTTCGTCACGCTCTTTCGACGCCGGGCGACGTCGGGCGGGCTGCGAAGTGGCAGGAAATCAATCGGACCCCGGGACACTTCGGGGCTCCGCAAACGAGAGGATCCGCCGGCAGCCCGTTGACCAGGCGCGCGCGTCGTGTATGCGGCAAGTAACGAACACGCCTGTGTAGCGCGAGCCTGTAATGCGAGCCGTTCTGTGGACGGCCACAAAAATCGAATAAAAAATTCGATCACCGTGTATAAACCGTTTGCGTGAAACTGCGGCGATACGCCCCTGTGGGTGTGCATTTACGTGTGCATGCGCGGGTACGCGATTTTGTGCCTTCGTTCGTGAAATATTAACACAGGTTGAAAATAATTAACGGTAATAACGCGTGTTTCTCACCGTGGGGAATTTAGATTTAAAGATGCTTGTGACTGGAGACGATGAAAAAATTATGAAAAAATTACGAACTGATTTACACTGTATTTCAAAGTGTGACCGAAAGTTTGACAATAATTCAAAGCCTGGGACAAAAGTGATGCCATTTTGAGAGGAGGTTACATGGTGAAATGAGTTTGATAAGATTTCGGTGACCCGCCTGACATTCGATGACGAAATGCCTCGGTATTTTCGCGAGAGAGAGAGCGGAGTTCAGACTGTAACGTTATTAAATTTTCTCTTCCCCGATAATAAAAAAATTTTTTGATAAAAACGGTCCACTGAAATTTTTTGTTATTTTAACCTGAGGAATGTGTTAAAAAAATATACAAATATGTGTCAAAATATGTTGACACGGTGAATATATTAATTTAACATTATATTCGTATACCTTTCAGCACATATTCCCTATATTAAAATACCAAAAAAATGGATCGTTTTAACACAACACTTTTCACTGTGCCGTCTCTTTCGTAAATGTTTTTCATCCGTGGACTCGTTTGCAGCTTCACATTTGGCGGTCGAAGTATTCCCTGACTTTAATGACAATGTCTCGTAAACAAATGCATAATCCAGAATTGCGTTACACATCCGAACGTTGAACGTGACGCGCGTCGCGCGTTTATTTATACGGCGAGAAAGGAGCTTTCCCTGATGTAATCGCAAATTAGTCGAATCTGGTTACGAAATGTAAAAGGTGTGTTGCGAATGCGTGCATTTGAATTGTAGAACGCGCGCTCGCCGGTAATAGACCGGCGCGTTTATTCCCGCGCAAAGGCAGCACGCGGCCGTAACACAGATTACAGCTTACGCCGCGCGCGCGCGCGCGCGCGCGCAAGAGGCGCGCTATTACACGACATTGTTAAATTCCGCGTATGTATCTGAAATAACGCGAGTCGCGTCCTTTATTGTGCGGGAGTACCGCGTAATTCCCCGTCGCGGTGCTTTGTCATTACGACGGATTACGGCAATCTCGCCATTTTTGCTGCTTTGTGCTTTTTTTTTCGAGACGCCCGCGCTTCACGCAGATACGGGCGATTTTATTTCAAGCACTGCGTGCGCGCCCGACCATCGTCGACCGATAACACCGCTACATCGATTATCAAGCGCGAGTCACAAAGGTATCTCATACAACGTCCCGCGACATCCGCGCGACTCGATATAACCCACGCTAATTGCAACCGCGGACACGTCCCGGTCTTTCACGGACGGCGAACGGATTCTCGTCCCGCGACCGGAGGATTCATTAAATCCGCCGGCCATCGAAGCGCCCAGACCTCCGAGTCGGGTGATTTAAAGCCGAAGAAATAGATTTTTAAAGAGCGCGTCCGAATTACCATCGTAACGAGCGCGAGACAGGCCCAGACCATTTGCATGGCCACGGCTCCGTGGGCTCGCCTCCTCCCCATACCCACCACACCGACGGCACGACCCTCGTGTTCTTACTTACCGCGAACAAGGATGAGGATGCTGAACAGCAGCGCGGTGCTGAACGGCCAACCGGCCATTCTGGTGTGCAGCGTTACGTCGATTCAGCTTCCTCCTGAAACAATACAAGCGTGGCCAATCAATCAACCCATCCGTCCCGCTATTCCAGAGCCAACTACGATCCCTCTATCCCTCCCTTCCCTCCCTCGCACCCTCAACCCTTCCCACTCCTCTCACTGTCCCTCGCTCTCATAGTTCAGACCTCGTCCCACCTTTCCTCCCCAACTCCGGTCCTTCTTGGCAAACTGCCCGTTCTACGCCCAACTCACCCTGTATAACCCCCTTCCCCTTCACCCCTACTCGACCATCCAACCCCATCCCGCTTACATGCCAATCCCCTATGCCGTATCGACAATTTTTTTTTCCTCCCTCTCGAATCCCTGCCTGGGGGCTTGTCCGCTCAATGAAAAGTCCTCCCAGACGGTGCGCGTCGAGCGACGTACATAATCGTGAAACATGCGATGCGTGCCACCGGCTCGGCTATATATCTGGTATGCCCTCTTTCTCTCTCTCTCTCTTGCGTTGGCGCGCGCGTTTTTTGCCGCTCGACGCGAGCCACGGAGGTCCTCGACCTCGTCGAGGTCCTTGAACAGCGGATGATTCTACGGGGTTTGGTGTATTAACGGTCCGTTTAGTGTAAACGCAATGTGCCCGAAGTGACCGAGCACTAAATTTCAGCGGCCCCGAGCGCACGATCGAGAAATATTGATAGCGCTACCGTAACGCAAGGATAATTAACACGCCGTCTAATATCTTCAATGGCCTTTCACAGTCACTTAATTTATTTATAGTGAATAAAGTTTAACACATTTGCTATCACTTTAATGGCTCAATTGGGGAACTCTTCTCACGGACTAGATTGTAGTTGTTTCTAGGTAATTGTATAAAATAGACTTGGTTTGTTGTTCGTGTAGATATAGAAAAATTATCGCTGTCACATTAAAGAATAACGACGTATCGATAAAACTAAGATTGAAAGCATAATAAAGATGGTAAGTAGAACAATAATATGCGTTCTCTATAACTTTCTCTCTCTCTCTCTCTCTCTCTTTCTTTCTCTTGTATTATTCGCTCGTTTCATCGCACTTCTATATTCTCTCGCATGCTCATTTAAACATACTTCACCCATATGACATTTAAAATGTTAATAATTTATCGACATTTTTACTTTCCTTATTTACTCAGGCGAGGACGTTTTCCTGTCAAGGTTCAGCCGTCGCTCCAGCATTCTCTTAAAAGTCAAACATAGAACGAAAATTTCCACTCGGATGGAAGCAAACCAAGCTTTGAAACTGACTCGTATTGAAAAATCTTGCGAATTTCTTCGGAACGTCCAGAATCGTCTCAGAAACAACTTGAGATTTTCTGCCGTTGAAAATGGAATCTTCGTATTGAAAGAGTAAAGTCGCGGGTAAAACTTACGAAATCGCATGCTGCTTAAAACAAACGGTTCTCCGATCATCTCGGGAGAAAAGGAGAGAGCAATTCCAAGCGCGCTGTAAGTGGCAGCTCGAGCAGATAAACGCGATATACGACATATCGATATCCCGTTAAGCGGAAGTCCCGATCTGCGCTCGCGAAAGTGCGAGTTACACGACAGCAAGTTATTTGCTTTCGGTATCGAGCAACGTCCTTTTCGCGGAGGCTGAAAGGCCCGCGTTTTTTATCCGTGTCCCTTCACAAACTTCATTCAAAGAGGCCGAATCTGGAACGTTCGATTCGGTTCACGGCGCTGTTGCATCCTCGGCTCATCGCAAAGCCAAAGGGTGACTCTCGCGCGCGCACGTGCATACACACACACACACACACACACAGTTCTTGTGCACTTCGTTCGTATGCATACACGAGCGATTTACAAGAGCGCGCTCCTTCTACCTGCGCTCATCTCCCGCTACTTCTTGGCTGAATATTTTTCAAGCTTCCACTTGTGTACGCCTTGAAGCGGATATAAAAGGCTACAAGGAATACACTTGCATTCCATCGAGTGGAATGACGAAATTTTAATTAAAAAGTAACATTCCATCGTCCATTTTTAATGTACGTGTCACTGCTTTCACAAAAATCATGCATTTCTAGGCAAAACGACAGAGGCAGCTCTGAATCGCAAGGATACGTGTCCTTTACGTCCGCCTGGATGGAAATTTTCCTTCTCTCAGAGAAGAAAAACAAACTCTGCAAAATATCGCCATTTTTCGTCCATTTCAACAAGGTGCTCGGTCGCAGGCCAGGATTATTCCGCTCAAAATAGCTCGAACGGCCCGAATTACCATCGCAAAGGGTTAATCTGTAATTTTAAAAATCGCGGACGAAGGGAGAAGTTCAACGAAAGCGTGCACGTGTCGCCGCCTATCCTGGAAGAGACGCTCGTACGTTTCCTGTTGCGCGAAACGGCCCTTATCCGAACGTCGACGAATCGGACCGCTAGAAAGCAATTCCAGTACGCTCACAATTAAGTTTACAGACCGAGATCGAGTGTCCGACACACCATTTCCTCACAAACGAGAGAGAGAGACACGAGACGCGAGCGGCATAGAAACGCGACGGGCAAAAACAGGCGCGCAAAAATTGGACTTAAACAGCACCCGATCGACCCGGTTATTTTCAAGCAAGCATGTCGAAGTCGCTCGAAGACTCTCGCGAAAGTTGGGACGCTTTTGGACGGGAACGTTCGCGAGGACAGATGGGAAAATAATTGTAGCGACCTCCGAACGGATCCGGATGCGACAGCGTGACAAATTAACAATCATCGGCTCGGCGACACGATATTGTAATTTCAATCGAAGCAATCCCGATAAAATATCCTCCACGTGAGATTACCCTTCACGCAGGTATGATGCGATTTTAGCTTCGTAGTGCCCGGCCGTCGACCAGTTTGATCGATTTCATACAGACGTTAGTATTCGTAGCGAGTTGTCAGTCATCGTTCATTCTGAGCGATTCGCTTTCGAGAGTTATCGCTTGTTTGTAACGCGCGTTAGAGGCGCGTAAAATAGTTTGTGTATAAAATAGAAAAATTCACTTAGCGAGAAAGAGAGAGAGAGAGAGAGAGAAAGAGGGGGGAAACGGTAATATAATTTAATACTTCGATCCGCGCTATATTTCTACCTACGCGTGGCCCACGATTAAAACGAATTAAACGCACATCCGCCCGGGAAATCTCTTATGATTTTCCATTCCGCGAGACTTCTGACCACGCGTGCATCATTTAACGCGAGTGTGCTTTCTGGGAAATGGCCGACGCAGTTGCGACGGCCATTCGTTCGCGACTTCGAATTACACGTTACCGCGTAAGCTCCTCAAGATTCTAAACCGCCCTTAGAAATTTCACAATCCCGAGTTGCTACTGGTTTCGCGGGCTCTCTATGCGCTACCTGCACCAAACTAATTAGCGCGTTACACGGTTTGCGTAAGCGAGTAATACGACGTTAGATGTAACGTCGCCGAGCGACGTTCATGTTTAAAGCACGGGTTACGTAGACAGGGAATTAGATGCGCGTGCGAGAGTCCAACTCGTGTAAAATTCAGGTAGGGCGGGAACAAAACGGTGTCGTAAGCTCTCCTACCTAAATCACTCTGTGTGCGATCTTTCTTTCTCTCTCTCTCGCTCCTCCTTTTACACTCAATAATCATTGTCACTATCATTAACCATTATCAATATAGTGATTACGTAATCTATCACATATTATGAACTATATATATACTCGAGTATACACGCATCTCAGATGTACGCAGACCAGGGTTAGTTGAGGGCTAAAAGGAATAAGTTGGCTAATTGGATTATTTCCATTATTTTCCAACAGGTTGTAGAATCGAGCAAATAAGAATTTCACAACCATCCTTGACATATTTGAAATCTCTGCTTGCTCGATTCTGTAACCTGTTAGAGAACAATAATAAAAAGAAATAATCAATTAGCTAACTCACCTCTTTAGCCAACTAGCCCCGATCTCCTCCAATCACAATTCATTTTTATATGTCCAGTAGGTCTTGACTCAAGATTCTCTCTCTCTCTCTCTCTCTCTCTCGCTCAGCCGGGTGCCCGGAGAGTCTGTAAGGATACTCGTGCACTCGTGTGCGATGAATCAAATTGCGGGGGTCGAACGAATAATCGCGAAAATATCGACTGCTCGGTGTGTTCCGATTCTCGCGCGTCCCGACCTCACGTATCTCCTTTGCGAGATTATTCGCATGAATAATACAGCATTTCCGTGCCACGAGCCAGATGCAGATTCTACCATCGCAGGCAACGTGAGCGGCGGATTCGCGAATTTACGACTTGTTTTATAACTTTCGGCCGTGTCGGCCGTCGGAATTGTTGCGAGATTATATCTACACGGCAGTTCGCGATTTGCGGCGTTAATGCGTTTCTGAAAACCGAGGAATGAAATGTAATACGACGAATGTCTGAAATAAAATATAGCGCGACGCGAACGGCGGGGGGACGGGTGTAACGTGCGAAAACGTTTTAATTGTCGACGACAGGTATGTTTGGTGAATTTCACCGAGCGTGCAGTAATTACGAAGTTACAGTCGGCTGCTTTCCTTTTTCGAGCGCGCGGCGAAGTTAATTCTAAATTTTCTCTAACACTACCTTCTTCTCTCTTCCTCTCTCCCTTTCTTTTTCTCTTTTTGTTGACGAAATCAGCGATCACTTAACAAATTGTTCGATTATAGCGCCGCAATTAATCAATCAATCTCTTTCAAAGTAGTATTAAAAAAATGCGATTTTTATATAGTATAATATGATATGGTTAGCATAGCTATTATAGTACAAGTTTCTCAGTAAATTATGACGTTAGAGTTAATTTATGGTGCAATACGGCATATATTAATATTTAGTATATAAATATGACATTACTTATAATACGTTTCGTACAGAACTCTGGGTATGATATTGTTTATAATATGCTTAGGCATTTCGATTTTATACTCATCAACATGCCTGCATTTAATTTGGACTGTTTAGTTGATTGGAATATTATTAAAATTGTACTTTATGCCATCAAATGCTTAAGGGGATTACATCTTGAAGGGTAAAATAAACGCCTTCTCTCT